TTTGATCTAGATAAGGTTCCAAAACTGAGAGAATAGTATCTTGTAATTTTTTCCCTTCACCGGCATAAATTTCTAAATTACAAATGTAGCTTGAAGTACTTTCAGTCACTACACGAACAAGTAGGCCATATTTTACAAGCTTCCCTGGATTATAGGTTCTTATTCGAAGCCTACCTCTCCAAGCAATCATTGCTTCGTCCAAAGAAAGTTGCTGATTTGGTTTATAAATTGTTTGAAATTTTTCAATGAAAAATTCTAACAAATTCTAACAAATGTTGAATTTTGAAGAGCCTGTTAGTTGGTTGTTGTTGAAATGTAAACACCCCCAAACTTGTTCAAATCTGTTGCGGCTCATAATGTTTCTAAAAATTGGAGTCTGTAAAAATGGATCAGTAGATCAATATTCTTTTAGTTTATCTTTTCTGATTTGCCCCATTAGAATGATTACTAAGAAAAATTTTTTCATATCAGTTACAGTGACGTCTGTCCATTTTAATCCCTTATCAAACTTTTGCTGGTTTTGAACATAATACAGATTAGTTTCCTCACACAACATATTAAAAAACTTTCTCCAGAAAAAGAGTTCTGTTATTTCAGACACTTTTGTTGGGTCAGAAGGAATTTGTTTCACCCCTGGATTTCCAATAAAAAAACCCTAAACTAGGAGTCTTATCTCTTTTTACCCATGTCGTGGGCCCCACATCACTAACATCTTCATCACAGCTTTCACTTTTACTAATAATATTTGAAGATGGGCGCTCATTGTCATTTATCACCGAATCAACACTTTCATTGTCGCTATCGCTATAAGTATCGTCTGGAACATCTGACAATGGGTCAGAATATAATTCGGTAATTAGTTCTTCGGTAAGAATTTTTTTCATACTACAATATCTGCGTACATGAGCCATGGCTTTTGACCTTCTACTGAAGTGTGAATGAGCTAAGAGCTTGCACTTGCCCACACCTCAAGTAATTTTCTAAAACATTTTTAATATCCACATAAATCTTTTTATTTAAAATAATTCTTTTGTTTATCATATATTTCCTCTCCATAATCTCGTGGGATTCATTAAAATTTTTTCTTTTATACTTTTATTTTAATTAATTATAATATTGCCTCCAATTATTAAAATTAAAATTAATATCAAATAATATAATATACAATTAATAAACCAAAATTAATATGAGTTAATATTTTAAAATTAATTAAGTAAAATTAATAAACATTGTGGTTGTGTACCACAGTTACCTTAAATAAAATTGACCTTAAATAATTTTCAGACTTCTTTTATTTCAAATAGATAGTATCACTCGCGTTGCGAAAAATGCGCGGTAGACAGCGTAGTTTGACTTGCCCGAGCGCGGTGGAAAGCGTACAGTTCACGCGCGGTCGACTAAGTGTTAAGATTGCGCGTGCTCCAAGGTTGGAGCCTTTAATCTAAGAACATTACAAACCGATAAGTTTTTACTCTTTATGCTTTTGTATATATGTAAATACTATATATACTGGCACAAAATAAACGTCTGTTAATAATAAGAAAAAAAAACTTGTTCTCGTCTGATCACGAAAGTTAAACAGCACGGATAGTACTTAGATGGCTGACCACTTGGAAATGATGTTGGTTTTTTTTTTTTTTTTTTTTTTTTTTTTCTTAGTAATTGGAAGCTGTTTTAGATTGCTTATGTACAATTAACCTTATAGTTTTTGTTTTATTAGACTCTGTTATCCCAATAATTACTGAATTAAGGATCGTCAGTAGTATGTTTTTCCTCTTCATTGCGTATATTTTTCCCTTCAGAAATGCTATTATTTTTAATTATTGGTTGTAATTATGAAAAACACGAGATTCAGAGAAGAAGGGAAGAGGGGCCTAAATAAAAAAATTGTAACTTCAGTATTTATTACTTTCCAGAATATTAATTAAAAAATATTGGTTCTGTTAAAAATATTTATATTACAAACAACTGTGGATATCGTAACAAATGCATAACCATTTCTGTAATCGTAATGGTCAAATGATCATTTGTTCTTCGCATTAGAATAACCATCCTTTAGTACGTATCAAAATATTATAATTGAAATAATAATAATTAAAATAGATTTATGCAGTTATCTTTCTGTCTAAACAGAAATCGATGTTAATTTGAACAAAAAGTGCCCCCTGTATCAGAAAGATCATCAAAAATTATTGGTAAGTTTGGTTATTCTACTGTTAACCGTGATTGCGCTCTTGGTCACTTATAACACAGAGTTCACTTGCTTGTAAAACATCGACAGAAATCTCAGATGTTATAAAATATTTTTTCTTTTTCTTCTATTATTGTATGTATTATAGCCGTGTCTAAAGCGTCCGCATTTTTTCTCACTTAAGCGTCTGTTGTTATCACCAATTTTTAGAATTGGAACTATTTCACTTTATGCTACGTCAACCGTGTGCGACGTGCCAAAGACCGCGTAAAACATGATACTTGCACAATACAAAGCAAGCGATACCTGCTTCCTATATTTCGGCATAATTCGCTCTTGGTTTCGATTGCGGACGCTCAAGTGAGCACTTCTGTAATTGAAAAAGATTCGTTTCATTGGATAAAATTCCAATAGATTCTGGTCTTCCAGTGCGTCATATTGTTGTTATTTCGAATGTCTTAAATAATCCGTGCGTTTCAAACAGAATAATAATTTTTCGTTTCGCTAAATAATGAAAATGACAAATCGTGAAGAATACAATATTACAAAATTCAGCAATATATATACTGTTTTCTTATGAAAATGAAGCAGAAAAAAAACATCTTTGCTCGAGGCTCAAAATTCGTTGGATTTTCAAATGGACAAGGAATCAACAATTGAAGAAATGGAGAAAAGGACTTCGATCCAAGATATGGATAAAATTTTCTTTAGCTCGGTGGAAGCATCGTTGCTAATTTAATAAATTGCACAAAAGATATGTGGGAGAAAAAC